AGTACTAACACGTGTTACTACTATATGATTTTTCAACAATCACAGAACTTTCTCTATGAGTAAACAAAATATAGTAAAAAATTTTCCAACCCTTCAAACAGTTGAATATATTATAAATGATTTTTACTTTTACACTTTTTACTCTGCTAAAATATACCGCAGTAAAGCAATCTTCTCACCAAATATTTTTCAGTAATCGGTTATAAAAGTAATTTATCGTAACGGATAATAAGAGCCTGGGTTTGGCTTGGTCTTTATACTTGGTTAAGTTATAGATGGGTGTATTGTAGACGATTTAAATTTGTAAAAAAAGCACGATTCAATGCAATCCAAAAGCTTTAAATCAACGTACCTGTGAGTACATTTTTTAAGCTCTTCTTTACTAACTCTGTGGATTTTAACTTTTTTTCTAAAAATATTAATGTTTTAAAATCTTATGAATGCTTTAAAAAAAAGAATGTATTTTTTAAACAAAATTAAATATCACTAAAAAAACTTGCTTGAAAGATACACATACTAACCAACGTATCCAATTTTTGTTGAACAATACAATCCCCCAACCAAACGTCAAACAAGCCTATGGTTTAATACCATTTAAAAATAATGTACATGACTACCCAATCAAATATGAACGTGTAATCGAATCTCAGTTAAAGCTTAGCAGTGGCAAGTGCATTTTGGATACGAATACGGCAGTTGGCACTGGCAACAGTAGCAAGAAGCAGAAGACCGAGGTTACCGAAATCAACTTGTCCAGCGAAGGCGACAACTTGGAAGAGGACGAGAAATTTGAGGACAAACTCCAGCGCTACGCCAACGAGTCGTCCGAAGATGATCCAGACTTTGTGGTAAGTACCTACACTAAAAGAAGTGCACAGCTCATAGCAGCATGCCACGCCATCTATCTTAAGGTGATATCACGTCACAGCCACGCAAACTGCTTAGCAGACTCTAGGAGTACCTATGACATGCACTCTTACAGCTAATGGGAAAAAAGAAGCTTTGAGAAGAGTGACGATCATTGCTATTGTCCATTCTATAAATATGATATAGCAGTCGTGCTTCCGCGCTTGCTGATCGTATTATTGTATCTGTGGTAAGGTTTTATTGTAACGTACGTCTACTTCCTTTTTCTCATACTACTTAATTGAAAGTATTGACGAAATATTAAATNTTCAGCCATTTAGAAATTGGCACTTCCCACATCTTGTATGATAGCAAAACAGCAAAAAAATAACTTTTTTTTATTCCTAAGAGTAAGAAATTGATACGTTACAACAAATTAGCAAAAATAACACGTAAACATCAAAAAAAAAAAATTTTTTTTCGAACTGCCGAAAGCAGAAAATTATAAATTATCCAAACAATCATTTCCTAGTTGATATTTTTAACTAATGGTTTAAGTTAACTTATTAGGCACAAATTTTATATGGGATTTCAAAAAAAAGTAGAAATTTTCCTTACAAAACGTGTAGCTTTGTTGTTATTTAAATTTTTGCAATGGCAATAAAATAATTCATCAGCGTAGTCTTTTTTCACAAATGTGTCCACTTCTTTAAAAATATACTGCATGAGAGAATCCTTAAAACCATAGTATCCAACTAAAAAACTTATATTAATAGTAAAATAAGTGAAAAAATATGATTGATAATTTTTCCATAAAAGTTTTAGTTTAGCACATGCATCAAAGAGAAATATACGATGACAACAAAAATTTAATTGTTAACAGCTTCAAAACAGTGACTCTCAGACCAACGATGAAGAAGATGAGAGCTCTGATTCCGGCGATTCGATCACAGAGGCGGAAATCGCAGATATAAAAAATGATCAAGCTGACATGGAGGATCACTATGGCGTGTGGGAGCGTGTTGGTCGTCACTCGCTGAAGAAAAAACTTGACGACGAAGTGCATTACGACGTCGATGTTGAGGGATTGCTCACGGACATCGCGCTGCGCAATTACGAGATGAAGACTCGACAGCAGGGAAATAATGTAAATTAAAATGTTCATTTAAGATACATTTACTTGCGCTTTTTATGTCAACACAAAACGATAAATTTATAATGAAAAATGAAAAACAGTTTTAATGAGACAAACTAATTACAATTGTTTATTGTGAATTTTGTTTTTTAGGAATATTTATACATTTTGATTTGAAAACTGCGATTTTAATGTTCGGGGGTTTTTTCGAGCATATCACACGTGCGAGTTAATAATTTGAAACTAATTCAGTAGTTTGTTCATGAGAAAACTATTTTTTACACATTTCTTTATAGAGTGTACGATGTATAAAAAAGAATTTGTAAAAAGGAAATATATTCATTTCTATGGAAGTTATCGTAAAAAAACGAAAGGCCGAAAGCTTGACAAAAACATTGTATTAATTTAAAATTATTGTTTTATTCTTTGAGCTCTTAAATGAATACAAAAATTAAAATGTTGAGCCTTGGGTGATTTGAATAATTGGTTAATAGATATTTCAATAACCAACACCATAACAATATAGAATACTTATGTTTTCAAAAAAACATGACTTTTTTATTGTACCAAACTTTATGTATACTTTATTCATTCGATCACTTTTTTTTAATGCAATCTTCAATTTATCTACATCATATTATTTTTCGTAAAGGGTGGCGTAATATATCTTTGGCACTTACTTCTTCTCTATATTAGTTCGAAAGTAACAGTTTTAACATATAAGCACCTAAATCAGAACAATATCCTAAACGTCGAGATGTTTGTGATATGCAATCATTTTCGGTATTGAAAAATACCTTTTTAGCATTTTTATTTTCATTTTTCTTGTGCGTGCAACTGTTATACATACTATACTTTATGTGAAACTTCGCAAGAACACGTTTATATTCAATTGTTTTGTGATACGAATAAACTTCACAAGAAAAAGATATTAAAACCTAGGGACTTGACCCTCTGTAGAAGGTATAGTTAGCGTCACTATAATACTAATACCAAGAACAATGACAAAAATAATAACAATGATAAAAGTACTAACACGTGTTACTACTACAATAAAATATGTATGAAAGAGTTCTAAACATAGTGTATGTCATAATTATTGTTATAATTACTATCATTACTATTATTATTACTATTATTCATATCATTATTATTATTATTGTCATTACCATAGCATAGATCTCGAGTTCACTTCCCAGTGTTACATAACGTCCTCTACCTTAATTGGCACGTCTGAGACATTATTTTTCAATAAATTATCGTTATTATTATAACTATCATTATTATTTGTGTTTTTTCAAAACAAAAATAATAATGATAGTTAAGTTGAATTCAGGGCATACCGAAGGGTTTCCCGTTCGCGATCTAGAGACTATACCAATACCGCCACGAGTAACGGAATTTCGTCTAGATTTTTACGTATGATTCAATCGGTTATTTAATTCCCGTGGATGCTGGTGTACCACTACTGTAGCGAGTAATGGTGTGCACGTTAGTTTAATTATTTCCCAGTGTTCCACAGTTACCACTACTGTACCGAGTAATGGTGTGCGCGTTAGAGTTTATGCCCGCGCCGGTAAAAAAAAAGGGGAAAAAGAAATTAAAAATTTGATAAACTTCAAACACTTACTTTTATTCGAAAGTAACAAACTTATGGACACGGCGAACCAGCGTAAGAAACACTTAATCAAAGTAGGAACTGCGGTCGTGGAAGACCGAGTGATAGCAGAGGCCGACTCTAGCTACTCCGTCGACCGCGCGAGGGTGAAAAGAAAAATTAACTGATTTTTCCGGGGCCTCCAGGCCTTTTTATAAAGAGTAGCAGACCTCGGTGGCGCGCTGGTTCGAGAACGACGCAGGAAAAATTGTCGGGAAAATCTTGCAAAAATGACAATAGCCGAAAATTTAATTGGCTAGAACTGCTCTAGTTCAGCCATTTAGAAATTGGCACTTCCCGCATCTTGTATGATAGCAAAACAGCAAAAAAATAACTTTTTTTTATTCCTAAGAGTAAGAAATTGATACGTTACAACAAATTAGCAAAAATAACACGTAAACATCAAAAAAAAAAAATTTTTTTTCGAACTGCCGAAAGCAGAAAATTATAAATTATCCAAACAATCATTTCCTAGTTGATATTTTTAACTAATGGTTTAAGTTAACTTATTAGGCACAAATTTTATATGGGATTTCAAAAAAAAGTAGAAATTTTCCTTACAAAACGTGTAGCTTTGTTGTTATTTAAATTTTTGCAATGGCAATAAAATAATTCATCAGCGTAGTCTTTTTTCACAAATGTGTCCACTTCTTTAAAAATATACTGCATGAGAGAATCCTTAAAACCATAGTATCCAACTAAAAAACTTATATTAATAGTAAAATAAGTGAAAAAATATGATTGATAATTTTTCCATAAAAGTTTTAGTTTAGCACATGCATCAAAGAGAAATATACGATGACAACAAAAATTTAATTGTTAACAGCTTCAAAACAGTGACTCTCAGACCAACGATGAAGAAGATGAGAGCTCTGATTCCGGCGATTCGATCACAGAGGCGGAAATCGCAGATATAAAAAATGATCAAGCTGACATGGAGGATCACTATGGCGTGTGGGAGCGTGTTGGTCGTCACTCGCTGAAGAAAAAACTTGACGACGAAGTGCATTACGACGTCGATGTTGAGGGATTGCTCACGGACATCGCGCTGCGCAATTACGAGATGAAGACTCGACAGCAGGGAAATAATGTAAATTAAAATGTTCATTTAAGATACATTTACTTGCGCTTTTTATGTCAACACAAAACGATAAATTTATAATGAAAAATGAAAAACAGTTTTAATGAGACAAACTAATTACAATTGTTTATTGTGAATTTTGTTTTTTAGGAATATTTATACATTTTGATTTGAAAACTGCGATTTTAATGTTCGGGGGTTTTTTCGAGCATATCACACGTGCGAGTTAATAATTTGAAACTAATTCAGTAGTTTGTTCATGAGAAAACTATTTTTTACACATTTCTTTATAGAAAAACTAAAACTCAGCTAATTTAAAAATAAATGGAGATCAAACCTTTGATAAAAGTATTTGTTTGGAAAATAAATTACTACTAACTTCAACCTGCACGAAGTTTTCAAAGAGTAAAACGTAGTTCTTTATCGTTTTCATATTCTTATGAGTTTTTTTGTCATAAGTAATGTAAATTTCCAATGAAAATAGATACACTTTCTTCTCCATCATTCGACGGTCAAGTATTTTAAATAGTCTTTATTATTCATTGGGTATGATAACGTTCGTACTAAACAGTACATCGATCAAATACCTTCACATTATTTGCTGCTGAAAAAAATGTTTGTGATCATTATCAGTCGACTTAAATGCACGAGTCACGAGAACAAAATAATAGTAATCATTGCCACGATAAACCACTGCAATATCATTTAGCCCAAGATTCAATACTGTAATTAAGTATTCGTTTGACAAATATAGTTGGTGCATAAGATCTAATTGTATGCTATCGTTATTGGCTGAAGCTCATGCCGGTCATAGAGACGGAGGTTCCGGAGACTCAGGCGGACAAAGTTGCCCCGCCGACAAACGGAACGGGCAAGGACGGCGAAGCGGCCTACTACTCGCCCGCCAGCTGGAAAAGCGTCTCCCCGGAAATCTCCATGCCGTCGCGCAATCGTAAGTCAACAACGAATTTTTGCCCTTTGTTAATCGTATGAATTGGAAAAAAAGAAGAAAAAAAACCAATGTCGGTGTCAAAATTTTGTATTTTCATCGCCAGTGGCCTACAATTTCGAGCACGAAGCGAAGACGGAAGATTTAAACAACGACAGCATAGTCAGCAAAACAGTGGATAAGGCCGACGGTGAGTCAAAAGTGCGAGTGGAACAAAATGCACGGGAGCCAAAAACAGTACCCCCACGCGTCGACGAGGAAGTATGAAAAGTACGCTTTTTCCAGGCGACCCGACCATTTCGACCGTCGACGAGGCCAGCGGTGAAATCAGCAACGGACATTTGAAGAACAAGCGCCAGACGACCTCGCACAGTAGTAAACACCACCACCACCAGCATCGCCATAAAAACAAACGGGATAGTCACAGCGGACGCAAGAGAAAGTAGACGCGCCTCACGTTTCGATACTTACACCACGAAAGCTGGTCGAAGCAGTAATCTCGTATGTTTCCGATACGCGTGTGCAAACTTACATTTTGCAAAAATGTGAGCAAAGGGAAGAATCAGTTTTGTGTTATTATGTAAGGATCGTGACTCTCTTATTATTATTATTATTTTTTTTTTTTTTTGATAGATCAATTTAAACACGTGCTTACACGCAAAGCCTATATCGTGTACATTTATTATCTTACAAATATTGGATGCTCTCTGTTCATTTTCCACGATGATCTGTCAAACAACTGATGCATACATTTCGATTGAAAATTTAGCACATAGCATAAGCTTGCTTCAATTTAGCAACGTTACGATAACATGGATTTTGAACAAAATAGCTTTGCAATAAACCAGTTATCGAAACCCCGCTAAAAACCGTTATTTAACATAAAAATTTTATGTATAATGATAATATAAAATGTTTCTATTTTTTTCTCTTTATTATTAATACAGATGAATTTTGTTGAATGTGCTTGTTAAGTATATTTTTTTTAGGAGTTTAAAGTAATTTCTTACACTTTCGTCGAGTTAATGAATTAAAACATAAACATTTATCAAGTGATTTAGAGACAAAGTCATATCATAACAACTTTTTCTGGCGAAATCATTTACTCGTGTGTAATTAATCTTCATGGTAATTTTAATCTTTATTGTTAAGGATATTTATTTTATCTAAGCATGTTTTCTTATAAATACTGCAGTCAAAGTTGTATCTGCAGTTAATTGTATGATGTTACAAATTTTATGTAATTATTGCTACGATAATAAATTATCACAACATCAATAGGAGTGAATTAATAAACACACATGAATTTATTCTAATAACGTACAATTTATTGAACTTACATTACACTCAATTTTAATTAATAATAAACCATCAAACCATCTTCTTAACTGCTATTTGTTGCATTTATTTCACACAGCTCATTATGGTTCTTTATCGCAATTACCGCATTTATTGTTTTGGTTGCCAAAAAAAAAGTTATAGCTGAATATTCAGAATAAAAATCATAATACAAGACATTTTTGAAAATTTTATTTTGCAATCAAGTGTTTTTATACGAATGACAATGGATTTAGATACCACACAGAAATATATTTTTATTTTTAATCATATTCGTACCTTTTCCCTATGTGTTAGAAGAGGACAATTGGCATCATTCCTATTGTGTGTGTCATTCCGCAAACTTTTTACAATCGCATAACTTGACTTTAAGTAACGTAATTGTTGTCTAACAACATAAATCCCTTTGTCGTAAACTCATCTGATTTCTTACAGAATAATGTATTAATCTGTTGTACAATTGAGAACAATTTAGCAAACAATAAATATCCCAATTTTTCTTACATCACTTATACACCTGACCAACTACTAACATTTTGTATTTTTTTTGTTTTTTTTTTCGATTTTACAGATTTTTTTT